ATACAGTATGTATGCACACAGATATCTTCTCTTTGGATGAAACAAGAGATATTTTTACTCCATTACAAGTGTTGCTCGTCCTTTAAGGACCTTTCAGCTTTCTTTGATCCCACTGTGACAGGATTTTATGGCTCAAACTGTCGTCATAAATGTTTTGTACTTGTAAATTAAATGCATAGTTGTGAACTGAGTTTTGTGACCTTGTAAACCAAAATATCTGAAAATTTAATGTTTGTGCATCTATAGATGAGAATTTGTGTGTTTGTAAGAAATATTTACACAAGTTACAATTTTTTTTGATAAGATCTGGTTACAGATACCAGCAAGAAACTTGTGTAAAACTCTGCGCTTAACTTCCCTGGCTGTGTGTGAGTTTCAACTTACGAGTACAAATTTTGACCCAATTTTTCTTCATTTCAGCTGATTGGTCAATGTTATGTCAATCACAAATGTAACAATCCAATCAGAGAACAGAAGGGTTTGGCTGTGGGTGGGGTGCTTTACTGAGCTCCAGGTCCTGGAAGGGTAATACAGTTATGACCAAAATTTGAGCCTATTGGATGCTTAAATTGGCAAAACTGAGAAGGAAAAATATTTAGGTCACAGTGGCTTACACGACCAAAGTCTGGGAAAGTCAGTGGTTTTTATCAATTTTGACTGAGACTTAATTAAATGTTTTCATGTCCTGGTGACCAATGAAATGAGAGTGGCACAAGATAGATAAGGCATCAAAACAACCTATCTTCAAACAAGTTGTTTGAAGATAGCTGCTGAGTTGTGAGATCAACTGTGAGAAGGACACAGACAGCACCCTCAGTATCAGCCCTGGCTTACTAACACTGCACTCTAGAAAATGCAACACAATCATATCTGTGCTTTCCCCCCAAAATCCAGCAGTGGTAGTTTTGTGACTGCAACAAAGTCCCGACAAATGAACATCAAAAACCACCTTAAACTAACAGATTTTCCTGTGCTCACTTCAAACACTCTTCATAATGCTTCGAGTGCTGAAACATAAAGGCATCAAGGACGCCTCTCGTCTGAACGGGGCAAGGTTAAGTTAGAAGGTGACACACTTAAGTGCAACACCGAGAGACTTCGCAGCGAGTTTCAGATTACAAAACTGCCCATTCTCTCCGCTGTGATTTCATAAGAGGCTTTCAGAGATATATCGCTGACTGTGTGTGTGTGTGTGTGCTGTTACAACACTCATCCACAAGTCTGAGGGCAACAACACTTGTCATTAAGGCATGTCATTCAGCACAGTGAAGAATCCTGTTTGTAAACAAAGCCATGGCAACCGTGGTACTCTCTCACGCTCTCGCTCACAAGTTTGCACTCCCACACGCAAAACTGACACACACACACACACACACACACACAGGGAGCAGTAAGCTTATTCTAAACTAGTCCCCATCTTGTCATCTGCCTGGATATGACCCAGAAATACAGCCACTGGAACAAATAGGCCACTGTCATATTAATCTCCACCTCTGTAAATTGATGGAAATATAATTTGGTGTGTTCAAAGCAAGCCGTGTCTGCACGCTTTGCCCATCTCTCTCTCTCTCTCTGCCTGGACAACGATAACTTGACCTCCCCTACACCAAACCCCCCTCACCCCCACCCCAACAGTACGTAACACATAATGACGCCCCGCAAATAGAAAAAAAAAGAGCGAAAAATATCTTACACCCTGTAATTGCACACTCAACTGAAAAAGACTTAAACAGGTAAAGGAAAAAGCAAAGCCGGGAGGGAACAAAAAGCTGTATTCACATGCAGATATTCTCACTGAAAAGCTTTGAATGGCAGAGTCTGACTAAAAATGACAGAGATTCTGTAATTGCAGCTTCAGATAAAGCACAGCACTTGGCAGGTAGAGTAAGAGTCTGCAGAGATGTGCCCTCATTTCCACACCGGCACAGCGCATATGTGTGTGTGAGGCTTTTTAAGCATTCATGCATGCTTGTGAGTGTGTGCGCACTTGTTTGTGTGTCAGACATGCCCTGTGTGTGTGTGTG